ATGAGTAATTTCTTCCTGGGTCACCCAGACTAGAGTTGTGCTAATTAATATCTCTCAACAACCCTGGGTTTTATCTTCTTTGCCAAAATCACTAAAATTAATTGAAATTAAATTCATATTTAGTAAAATATTTAGCTTCTACGAGATAGGCATTAGCAAAATTTGATCAGAAATCTGTAATGAAGCCTTTTGATCCCCTGGTACCCAGGAAAAAAAGAAATCTATAATGAATCCCATTTTTTGTTGTTTTTTGTTTTGTTTTGTTTTTTAATTTACAATTTGTTCTGAGCTCTTAAAAGTCCAAAAGAAGTTGTTCTAAATCACACTAATCTAGTAGTTTAGATAAGTACATGACATGAGAAAAAAATCTAAATAATTACAGTAAATGTTTACTAAGTATATTGGTAAAGTCCTATGGTCTTGTTATTTTTGCAGTGTTTTCAGTTGGTCATCGGCATTGATTCACAAATCATTGAAAGGGTTAGTGGGTAGGTTTCACTTTTTAATATTTGCTTTCTTTCAGACTTTTTGTTTTACCTTATTTTTAGGTAAGTTTTATGTGAAAATGCTGTAATTTGAAAATGACAGTTGGTCTAGTAGGGAATCAGTGCTGCACTGGTTTTAAATACAAAGTCAATGTCTAATGAGTTTACTTTTATTTTCAAGTTTTGTCTTTTATTAGACCATGTTTCCAGTACACACTGATTACATTCCTTGTGGGGAACTGGTCCATGTACATCACACATCTCAATTTTTTTTTTTCGCTTCTGGGTTTTGGAAGCAAGGTTACTCAGCTAGAAAAAAAGGTTACAGGCAGGGCTGCCCTTCGAAGGGTTCAGCAAAGTTACAATTCCTTTGCTGACATTCCACGTCTTACCACCTCCAAACCACACCACCATTGTTTTGTTGGGGTTTTTTAGCATTTCTCATAGCAGGGTTGTTCTGCTGTTTTCTTAGTACCCTTTTCCCTTCTCACATTCTATACTACAGCAGTGGTTTGGGGGACTATACTTAGACTGAAGTGTAACCAAGTTCTACTAAAAAGTTGATTTTTAATTAGAAAAGGAAGATCTGAAGGCCCCTTGAAGACAGCAGAGGAGAAGAATTGTATCAGGAATTTGACACCACATAAATAGTCACTAGTGTTGGAATCAGGAAACCTGATTTCCCATCTGTATCCTCTGAAGCCACTTCCAGCTCTGAAGTTCTGTGTTTTAGTTTTAGCCTGTCCACAGAAATTTACATTGTTAGAGTGAAAAACTGGGACTTGGCTCCACTAAGGCTAATTCTCAAAACTAGATAGAAACACTTGAGACATTCCTTTCTGTATTTTGTTACATTGAGTTCCTAGAAAAATCTAGCTAAAGTCCAGAGTAAACAAACTCAGACACAAACCTTGTTATTTGCCCTGAGAAGAACTGTGTTTTCACATTTTTGGTATTTTGCCTTTTGGTCAGGGGAGGGTTGGGAGGAGGATGAGATAAGAAAACCCAGCCCTTGCAGTGGGTGGTGATGTAAGCCTGTGTTCCCAGCACTGGACAGGCTGTGACAGGAGGACCACTGTGAGTTCAAGGCCAGCCTGGACTACACAGTGAGACCCTGTATTAAAACGACAAAAACAAACTGACAAATCCTGTTTCCTTGAACATTATTTTCTTCTCTCTAGTTCCCTCAAAAATTTGGGAGGCTATTTATTCAAGTACGGGGACATTATATTTATAAGGGAAAATTGGTGGTTCATCAAGGGCAGGCATTCATGAATGGTCCACGAATTTAGTTTGCAGAGGTGATCGGCGTATTCATCACATTTCAGATACCGAAGACTCATCAATAAACGTGCTCCCCTCATCTCACTCTTTGTAGCTTTAGAAGTCATTTCCGGGATGCATCCAGAATCCTTGGCCTTTTGCATCTGTTACACGAATTGTTTGTTCACCTTCATTTCTGCATTTGTTCATAGAAGAATCCATATCTCTGGGTATTTCTTCCTATTAATATCTAAATCGGTATCTTCCATCTCCTTGAACAAATGCTATAGTCTTAGCCATTTTGGAGGGGAAAAGTAAGAAGACCCAGTGTTCCTTGAGTACCTACATATCCCTGCACAGTAGGCAGGGCTGTGAAGTGATCTCATCTAGCCTTCATAGTGACTCGTCCAAAGTGAGAATAATGCCTGGTTTAAAGATTAAGAAAACGAGACGCAAGGGAGACTTGGGGAACATCCAAAGTCACTTAATTAGTTTGTGTCAGATCCAGAAGATGGCCTAGATACTCTGATTGACTCAGAAATCTATGCTCCTCTCTGCTCACCAGTGATTTCGGACCTACCATCCTCAAATGAGGTGGACTATGTTGTAATAGATAAACTAATAAAATAGTCACAGTAACAAACAATAATAGATGATCTAATGCAACTGTCAAAAACAATGACCGCAAGGGAAAGGACATTGTAATCAAGTGCAGAAGGCACTGAATGCAACTGAGGTTCAAGGAAAAAAGCAAAGCTTGTAAATATATTTTTATTTATTTTAAATTGTGGTCATTAAAGGTTTAAACTATTTCCACGATCTCTTGCTGAATTCCCCTGGTTTGGAAAAATGAGGAAGACAGGTGGAGGTCTCTTAATTAGAGAGGACAGCCTGCTTCTGGAATATGGACTATTTATGGTGGACAAAGACAGAAACAGCAGCCACGGAAGCATCTCTTCGCTGCCCTCCTCTATGCTCTCCTGCCCTAGGAACTTATTGATGTTCCCAAGCAGATCTAAATGCGCTGTCTTTTTTTTTTTTTTAACCAAGCTCCTACACAAGAATGAAGTAGGAAGTGCTTGGTACATGCTGGAGTGGCTCCCTTTACTATAGTTCTTGCTCCTTGCCTATCTCGGTAGCCCACATTTTGCTAATCACTTCTCCTATTTCCTGATCCTTTAACCTGTTCCCCACTAGTATCTTATTAAGTAAGCATAACAGAAGGAAAGAAAAAAGTTCTTGGACTCGGTGCCAGGAGACAGAGGTCTTTTTTTCTTGTAGCCTCACATATAGTCACCTCTATAATAGTAATAAGACTGTCTGCCCATCTGTGTCCTGCCATACCATAACATTTTTTCACAGGAATATTGTCATTATCATTCAAAACATGGAACAGGATGGAAGAGATCTGAGTATCCTGGAGTGTTATATAGCTGGTAGGACTTATTATATGAACAGCTGTTTATACAATTTGAGTCTATACTTTGAATACTTGTGCAGGCTTTAAGAGAAAAACAAGTGCCCCCTTGCCTTAGAGGCAGCAAGGATTACGCAAACTGTGCATTTGTTGATTTTACGTGCTCATGCTAATTTATGCAGATGAATATACGGCGCATTGCTTACATTACCCTGGCTGTGGCTCTTCAGTGGTAAGGAGCAGAGGCTTTTCTCATTCCAGGAAATTATAGAGAATGCAGGTTGGTATCTCCAAGGGCTACCTCCTGTCTCACTCAGGTGCTTACTGCCATTAAGAATTTTTTTTTTTTTGGTTCCAGGGATCGAACTCGGGCCCTTGAGCTTGCTAGGCAGGTGGCAAAACCACTGAGCTAAATCCCGGCCTGTGCCATTAAGATTTTTTTCCAAGCGTTGCTTTATGTTTGTTTGCAAGATGAATTCACTAGCAAAGTCTCCAAAATTTGCATCACGTATATGTGAAAACCAAACCCAAGGACAAAAATAAATATGTCCTTTAATGTGAATAGGCCTGCAGCAGGAAGAAGGCAAATGGTAATACAATAATAACTTCTGTTGGGAGAATGTTAAAGGGGAGTTTTTCCCATCCCAAGTCAGGAACATGCTCAGTCAATTCTCCATTCCATGGTCAGAATAATGACTTACTGTAAATGCTCCAAATTAAAATTACTCCGCATTTTCAGTTTTCACCATAGCCTTGCAGGGTAGCATAGATTACTATGCCCTTTAAAGCTGCTTCTCTCTGCATCTCAAAGAAGGTATCATATCTTTTCATTTTTCCTGGCTTTAGCATCTAACACAGACGGCGAGAGTACATAACTATAGCCTATATAGATTCTCCTGAGAAAATAAAAGCAGTGTTAAGTGTCTTGAACAGAGAGCACAGGCTTCCTAATGTGTACTGGAGGAGAGCGTCAATGTTTTGACCCTCATTTTAAGGTACCACCCTAGTTTTATATCAGAAGGAAAAGGAATATCAGCCAATTAGGGAAACTCATCTACAATGTAGTTCAAAACATGACAAAGCAATACTAATAAATTTCCAAACTGAAGGTTATAGTAAATGGAAAAATACTTTTTTTTTCTTCTTTTCTTTTTCCCATTTCCCCAGGAGACTTGTAGAAAGGAGGTCAACAGAGCAGTTACATGGGCTCCTGGGTTCTCCTGCGTAGAAAGACTATTGGTGTTGCAGTGGGTCCTCTCGTGGCCCATGAACATCCTAGACGAGAGAGCACATTTCCAACTTGGGGTCTCGGCATGCCAGCAGGATGCGCTGCCAAGTGTCCTGTATGATTGGCTTTGTGGTTGCTTTCTGTAGGTCCCAAATGGCCTAGGAAGCTACAAATGGAATGGCTCTGCTGCATTTGAGCTTGGCAACTCCACACCATTTATTGGCCTTTGAGTCTTTGCTCAGTTCCTGTCCCTTACTGTTTTTCAAACTTACATGAGTTGAAGAGCAGGAGAGAGTCAAAGGATGGAGAAAACAATAGAAGAAAAAGGAGGATGCAATTCTTGTCCTTTGCCCCAAGGAGATGCTTGAGAAAGATATTAAATTGTGTACGCTAAACATTTGGGAATATGACCCAGTGATCACTTTTTAGGCCTTTCTTAGTAAGAAAATATTCTCAGATGGAAGTACAAATAACTTCTTATAATTAATGCTGGAGGTGTACATTGCAAGTACATGGTTTGAAGCCATGCATTAACCCGAGACCGGAGTGACCTGTCCCCCTCTCCAGTGTCCCACGCTGACCATCATCCCCATGTTTGTGCTTCCAGGACCTCGATGCAGTCTCAGGCTTCATATGGCAACAGCTCCCCACCTCTGAACAAAATGAACAGCATGAACAAGCTGCCTTCAGTGAGCCAGCTTATCAACCCTCAGCAGCGCAACGCCCTCACTCCCACCACCATTCCCGATGGCATGGGAGCCAACAGTAAGCACATCTCCCCTTACCAAAGCTAAAAGACCAGCAGTCTCGTACAGGAGAAGACCGCTCAGGGATGGGCTGAGGCTTTGTCCTAAGACACGTAAGAAGCACAGTGGGACAGATCAGACCAAAATTGAGTGACTTTGCTTTCTCAGAGTTAACCTCTTGCTCTTGAAGTGTAGGTTTTATTACAAAAAACCTTAGTAGAGGTGGAGAAGGCTATTGCTTTGGTAGAATCGAAGATCTTTGTGAGAGAACTGTCTACTTCCTGCCAGCTGGATGGAGGCCCTTCTTCCACCTTTAAGATAGTCAACTAAAGGGCCAGGGATTTAGCTCAGTGGCACCATGCCTGCCTTGCAAGCACAAGGTTCTGAGTTTGATCCCTGGTACAAAAACAAACAAACAAACAAAAAGATAGTCAACTGAAAATGTTTAAAATATGTGGGAAGTGGGTGGACTTAAAATGTAATAAATGGATTCTAATCTGGACTCTATTAAAACACCTAGCTGTGGAATTATGGACAAGTCATTTCTCTTTCTAATGCTCAAATTTCAATCCATTAAAATGATCACTTTACATGTTAAACATGTGGCAAGGCTGTGTCCTGACAGTCTTAACGTTCTCAACTCATCCACTCTGTTCCACGGAGTGAGGGAATATGATGCATGCAAGGGTTTGACTTTTGCTTATTCACACACAATTTCCTCACATTACCTATGTGTGAATGTAAAAGATGATGCGAGATTTGGCTCCAAATGAATGATGAGTGGAATATACCTTGGCTATAAATATATCGATCTTATCTGCCAGAACTAAGTCTAGCAAAGTGGGTACACAAACTTGAAAGAAAGAAAGGCTGGTAAAAATGCAGAAAGACGTATACTATCTTCAGGTGTGCAGGAGACTGAACCCTGCACACGTACCTCATAATCCTCCGTCTATAAAAAGCGTTTTGCCCTTTAAAACCCCTAGTTGCTTGATCAAATATTTAAACTTGTATTTAAGTGTTCCTTTCAAAAACATCTGGGTTTTCTGAAAGAATTAAAGGGAGGCTAGGATTGTTGCTCTGTGACGTGATGGCGCATGTTCATATTTCAGGAAACTAGAGATGAATGTGGTAGGGCTGCCTGAAACAGCAACAATGTCTTCAGAGCAGCCTTCCCTGCCCCGAGTGTTAAGTACATCCTAGGTTTCAAAACCTGACCCCTGAAAGATTTGGCACCTTGAGAGTGAAAACATCAGAACTATTCATTTTCTTCTTTCTTTTTAAATTTTTTCTTGTGACCTCTTAGATGTCCCATCTTGCTTCTTGGGATGACAACATATTGGTGGTAAAAGTAATGATGCTTCACATTTATGCAACTTCTCATTTTCCTACTTTTTCTTTATAATTTTCAATTATTCTTTGATGTATCCAGGGGAATGAGAAGGGAACCAGACAAAGATGTAACTGGGCTATGCTCTGAATTTGTTTAGTGGTAGAGGCCTTTCCCCTTGGCACACTTCTGTTTAATAATGCAAAAACAAATCACATTCATCCTTTTTTTCTTGACCTGAAGGTACAGATAATTTTATAAATATTATTGACATTAAGCTTTCCTTGTCTATAGTAATTGTCTATAATTTATGGTTTAATAAAATACCAGTATTAGTGGTATTCCTGTATAGAATGCCAATGTGGAGCACAAGAAAAGAGTTAGAATTTTCCATTATATCTTTCTTTATTAAGCCAACATTCCCTAGAAATATTGCAGTAAGTCCTTCTGCTTCCACACACACATCCCAAAGGTCACTCTCTTATCCCCAGTGTGTTCATTTGTTCACTCAACCTAAGTTTACCAGGCATTTGACTGCTAGGTCTGGAAAGATCAAACCATGTTTAAGAATGAATCTCTGTGCATAAGAAGATTAGTATATAGAGAGGGAGACAGAAATATAACCCACAACAGCCAGTCCAAAGAAGAATATTAGCATTAAGAAAATGAGCAATTGGGCAGAGAAGTAGAACCAGAGAAAGGGATGGGAAGAGACTGTCCTCAAAGGACAAAGGCCAGGAAGTGTGCAATTTGTTTGGGTCTAGTATCCATTCTGTTTGACTAGATGAATGGTGTTTGAAGGGGTAGAGTGATAGGTAAGACAGAAAAACCAGGCTGGTGGTTTAGGCCCACTAAACCAGGAAAGATGGACCAGTGGGATGCAGGTACATGATCACAGCAGTAACCCTCTCTGTTCCTCCTGCTTTTCTTCAGTTCCTATGATGGGCACCCACATGCCAATGGCTGGAGATATGAATGGACTCAGCCCCACCCAGGCCCTCCCTCCCCCACTCTCCATGCCCTCCACCTCCCACTGCACCCCCCCACCTCCGTATCCCACAGATTGCAGCATTGTCAGGTGAGTGCAGAGCCTGTGCTCCTGGGACCTGTCCTCAGCATCTCTGGGTGGTGGAGGGTGGACCCTGTCAGAGTCGACACAACTGCTGAAAGGAAAGAAAGCTGCCCGGTGGTGGAAGGTCACCCACAGTTCTCTGATCTGTGCAGTGCTTGGCATATTTCAGTCAAGGAGAACTACTGTGATCAACACAGGAGACTGTGACTGTGTGTTTTTATACCCATGCAGGTTTCGTGCCTGTTTCCCCTGTCTTCTTTTCCTCCCTCCTCCTCCTTTACATTTTTTAGATCATCAGTTGTGGCCCTCAGATTGGTGCTCAGGGCTGGGTTTCCCAAAAGGGCAATGAACTTGCTATCTCGCTCCCTTTCCTGCTCTCTAGGCCTCATAGCTCTCAGCCCCCATGGGACCATTATTTTGGAGTTGGATGTCCACAAAAAGTTTAAATGCTAGCACGAATGAGATAATTCCAGCAAGCCGGTGGACTCGACTGCTCTGCGTGAGGAACGAGTACCTTCCAGATGAGGAAGTTCAGTCAGGCCGCAGACAGAAATGCACAAAGCCTGCAGGATCTGTTTCCCACAGAGGCAAATCTCCACGTGCCTCCTGCACACCTTCTGTTTTGGTTTTATGTGCAGAGCATTCTTCCATGTGGCTGCCTGAGTGATACGTGTTATTCCCCAGGTGGCGTCACTCACAGAGATGGCAAAGTGCAAGTCATGGCACCCAGGATTGGCCTTGCATTGAGGCAGCATCCTCAGTCGCAGGCCAGCATCACAAAAGTGAAGATAGGTATTCAGAGGACATAAATCAAAAAGTAGCGATGGCTTTCAGGAGTGGCAGCCTACGATGCTCATTTTGCAGGGAGGGGCCAGGACACAAAAGAGCTGGACTCTGACCCCTTGATCCTTTCTTTCCACCCCCTGCAACGGCTCCTAAGGCATTTACACACAACCCAAGAATACTACAGATCACCGCTGAAAATTGTGATCTGCTGGAATCCCTAAAGCCTATTTTATTTTCCATAAACCTACAGGTCAAGTTACCTAATCATCCCTAACCTTCAAATCCAAGGCCTGTGTATATTTTATCTGCTCCTAGTCTCTTACGGAGGGCATCCAAGGGTAAAATGTTGGGTCTTCCTTTATCTCACCAATGCTGTTGGGGTGAACTTTCTGTTTCTTCCTTCCTCTTCCCTCCTCCCTCTGCAGTTTCTTAGCGAGGTTGGGCTGTTCATCATGTCTGGACTATTTCACGACCCAGGGGCTGACCACCATCTATCAGATTGAGCATTACTCCATGGATGTAAGTAACTGTTAGACTTTTCTCTTGAGTTTTATTTTTCATTTTCTCCCTTTCGTGACATACACCTTGTAGTTCTATCCCCCAAAGTTTTAAAATTTGTTTTTGTCATGCCCCTAATCTTCAGTTCTGATGGAAGCCATAAGCACGATAGAAAGATTCCCAGGCCACACCCTATACACCTATAGAAGCTCAGTGATCAGTGAACACGTTTGTTGCATCCATACTCTAGGTAAAGTAGGTAAGAAGAGAGCTACTTCCCACCATCATATATAATCTCAAACCAGGTGTGTTGGCACCGTTCTCTAGTCCCTGCACTTGGGAGACCGAGGCAGGTTTAGAAATCACTCTGGCTCAAGAGTTTGAGACCAGCCTGAGCAACAGGGTGAGACACCATAACAATAACAAAAATTAAATTAAATCAAATAAGTTAAATTAAAAATAAATGAATAATCTCAAAGAATGCAGAGAACTGTTTGAATGTTCTCATTCATCTGCCTATGTTCTGAATGAGGAAAGGTATTATTTCACAATTCTTTTTCCATAATGAGGGGAGGGTGGTGGATAAGCTTTTAGTCTATGGCCCTATTGACTTTCCTGCCTCTCATTAAAACAGGACTTTATTAAGGGGCATTCAGCCTTTCCTTTCAATTACAACTCTGTGTTTCTTCGATCATTTTTCGGTTGTATCAGCATAAGGCCCAGCCATCCCTGAGCATTGGGAATGACCTGGCCACAGGTTAAAGTCCCATCCATGTCTTTAGTAATCATCAAAACTTGAGGTTTTCACTTTGCCTCTTTGGGCCTTAATTTATCAAACTGGATTCAAAATCCCTCTTGCTGGCTGTGATTTGTTTTTGGAAACAAACTGAATGTGAGAGCTCTATCTCTTGCTTCCTACACTGTTTCTTGAACTACTGCTGACAGGGGAGCTAATATTGTTCTGGTTTCCAATGATCTAACTTTTCTCCCAGACTATTTTTGATACTGCTAGCTTTGGGGTTCACTCTTCTCTTCCAGCTTCCGGGGGGCATTTTGAACTGCTGGGGAAAGATAGTTTCTGCCTCTGCTGCTGCTTCTATTCCCCTCCTTGAGCACCGATGCTAGAGATGTCCCAAGCATACGAGTGTCCCGGCTCTGTGGTGCAAAGTATACATTCTTCTTCCTTTTCCTCCACCCTTAACCACCCTATAAATCACCCCTGGGTGCTGCTGTAGGTTAGAATATATTACACACAAAAACTATATAGAGAAAGCTTTAAGGGTGAGTCTCAACCAGATTCAGATAACTTTACAATCTCTTGCATCCACCAAGGACAACAGAGCTGCCCCAGGTTTGAAAGCCTCCTATAGCAGAAGGTTCCTACCCAAAAGAATGGGGAATCTATACCTTCCCCATATTTTTAAAGTCATATTTAATACTTGCTTGCTCACCCCCACTGGGGATTATGTCAGGAGGATCCTGAAGCTTTAAGATCTGCAGATGTTCTCTATAAATCCGTCTCTTCCTATCTTAGTTGATGGAGTCTAGTTTATGAAGAGCTTTGGGATTATTGAGAGCCTCAGAAGTAATAATGAGTGCAAGAAGCATAAAGAGGATGCTAACTTATCCGTGTGTGTCTGACCTTTGTTACAGTGGTCTTTCTGCTGCAATAGGAGGGTAGAATACTTCTAATGGCCTGAAAATCCACAGCGTGGGGAATATTACACTACATTGCAAATTTCTGAATTTGAAAATGTTGGAAAGCCAATTTTCTCATTTTCACATCGGGGTTCAGAAATGGGCACCTGTTTCTCCACTCGTCTGTTAGCACCAGTCTAAGTAACTTGGCATCCCTTCCTTGAAGAGGAATGAGCTTCAGTTGGGGAGGGTCTTTATTAGTAGCCTATGTAAGAAGAAAAGCTGAGATAATAATGTGATAATAATATAAATGGCTCGCACTTGCATGGTATGTTTTATAATTTATACTGAAAAACATACTTGCCTTTAACAACCACATTTACCTATGAGTCCATAATACGTGTTGGACTAAAAAAGCAATCTTATACAATTTACCAGCAAGAGAGGCTGGACTTGCTAGAGTTCTATAGCAGAAGAAGAACTTCTGCCAGGTCTACTGACACCAACCACATCGTGCTGTCTGCCCACCCTGTCTTCTATAAAATATGTGAGCTGTCACTGAAACAAACTAGAAGAGATCAATGAAAGTGATGCCACCATATCCTGTTAAGTTTAACCCCTTTTTAAATGATGAAATGCTGTCTGTCTCCACCTGTACAACGTGGACACAGTTGTTCTGAATTTTGATGCTTTCTTTTATGCAGGCATCAAGACCCTGCTTGGCCAGTAGATCAAATTTAGGTTCAGGGCTCTCCCTAGGTCCACAGTTTTTTCACCTTTTTGTATAACTCCACTCTTTCTTTCTTTTCCTTTCTTTTTTTTTTTGAGACAGGATCTTGCTACACAGTTCAGTTTAGGCTGGCCTTAAACTCACTGTGTAGCTCAAGCTGGCCTTGATTCTCCTGCCTCAGCCTCTTGAGTGCTGGGGTTAAAGGCACGTGCCACCACGCCTGGCTGTATAACTCATCTTGTAAAACTCTCTCACCTTCCATCTTTCTACCTGTAAAGTAGGCATAACAATATCTGTCATTAATCTAAAGAGTAAATGAGATCATAATATAAAATGAATTGTTCTGTACCTGGCATGTAGAAAGCACTTAGTCTCCATTAGTGAGAGTCTCTCATCTCCCAGCCCCTCTGTTAGTGACATCCGATTAATATATTTCTTCTGCTGACTAGAGCCAGGCAGATTTAAGAGTGAGAAAGTACTTTATGTTTTTGTTTGACATCTTTCCTCTCGTATAAGTACTGTCTCTATTTTATCAATGAACAAAACAACACCCAGAAGAAAAATAAGTGAATAATTATTCACAAGCCAAAGCTCACCCCTCACATTTGTGCCTTTCTGTCTAGTTTTCTCTAGATTTGGCAACTATCAAAAAGCTAATTTTAGGGCCTAGGATTTAGTGCAGTGGCACCATGTCTGCTTCGAAAGCACAAGGTCCTGAGTTTGATCCCCAGTACTAAAAAAAAAAAAAAAAAACAGCTAATTTTATTTTCCAGGTGATGGATCAATAAATTCAGATCAGATAAACCAGAATACTGCAGAATGTGATAAAACGGTATGGAATAAATACTGATTTGGACCTTTGTTCTAATCCTTGCTGATTCCCTTCCCTGTGGCACAGGATTTGGCAAGTCTAAAGATTCCTGAGCAGTTCCGACACGCCATCTGGAAGGGCATCCTGGACCACAGGCAGCTCCATGACTTCTCCTCACCTCCGCATCTCCTCCGGACCCCAAGTGGGGCCTCGACCGTCAGCGTGGGCTCCAGTGAGACGCGTGGTGAGCGTGTTATCGATGCTGTACGCTTCACCCTCCGCCAGACCATCTCCTTCCCTCCCCGCGATGAGTGGAATGACTTCAACTTTGACATGGATGCTCGCCGCAACAAGCAACAGCGCATCAAAGAGGAAGGGGAGTGAATCCTGCGGGTTGGTTCTTCCCATCCTTTACCCACCTGCCGAGCCCCCTAGAAGGCGTGCCTGCTTGATTGTCAAAGCATTCTCCCTAGCTCTTCCCCTTCTTCTTCTCAGTCCAGCATCTTAAGGGAAAGAGAAGTGAGAGGCTACTACTTACCTACCATGTGACCTGGCATCTGATTCTGATTCTGGCTTTAAGCCGTCAAAGCTATTGCTTGCAGACTGAGTTGTCATGGTAGATCGAAGTGAGCAAATAAAGCAGTGGGTGTATCTTTAGGCTACAGAGATCTCTCATTGACTTTTATAAAGCATTTTCAACTTTATAGTCTAAGACTATATATATTATAAATATATAAATATACAGTATATATTTTTGGGTGGGGGCATTGAGTACTGTTTAAATGTAATTTAAAGGAATGGAAATTGCATTGCACTTATCAACTTTAAAAAAAAATTAACTTCTCTTGGGTAGCTTCACGATACCCCTTTTCTCAGGGGTATCGTGGATGATGATGTAGTAAGGATGTAGAGCTCTATGACCTGCCTGATGGGGGACAGTGGTGTATATGACCTTTCAATTCCTTGGATGCTGAACACATGCCATGTTGAGACTTTTGATAAAACCATTTGTATTTACCATTTCTTACTGTATGGCGAGACTATATATGTACATGATCCTCTATATTGGCACATTTTATGTTAATAGCATCCCTTTCCATGGTGCTGGTTCACTTTGTGTTTGTCACAAGAAATAGTTCACATTCACTTTTCCAAAGGCAAAAGAGCACATCCTGTTTTGTCTTTGATCATGAATGAGGAATATGGGTCATGGCTAAAATTCTGAATAGATCCATGGCATCCAGTTCTAATGTGATGCATCTCAGCATGTCAGTAACCCCTTTAAAATTTGATATCAGACACTTTAGTAGTTCTTGGGAAAACATTTGCTGCCATTACAGAATCCTTAAAATCAAATGTATCTTGTAGATTGGTTAACTCAAATCCACATTCACTACTCTTGTTAGAATTCAGGTTGATGCAGCTGGGAGGAGTGTCATCTACACAGTTCTTACAGTGGAGCTGTAGTGTCTCTTAAGACATTATAGGAAACATAAGCATGACTCCAAAATATTAAGTGTCTACTAAATACTGAGATAACTCATAAAACTGTGAATTGAAATTTCTGAAAGATGCTTTGAAACATGGATAATAGGTGGTAAAGGTTTCATTTAAAGTCCCTCACAAAACTTTGGAAGTTTGTTTACTTTTTGTCTTCAGGGTTAAACATAGCACAGTGATCTGGGAAATATGAAATCTTGAGATGAAATGTCCTATGGCATCATTTGCAGTTACTGTCTTTTGTGATCAGTAAGAGTTCTAGTTCATCAGAAAGTAACTGTGAGCACCAAATTTTCTATCTGACCCCTTTCAGGCTATGTGTAGACTTCACAATGTTTCCACAATCCTTCAAGAATGATGTTTAGATCACATCTAAAGAGAATTGCCTTAGAACTTCCAGCAACATGAAAATGACAATATCCCTGTAGATGTTTTGTAAACATGCTTTGTAACCAATACATATTTTTTCAACATACAAAACAAATATTTGGATATACGCTAATCTTGTCTAAAATTTTCCCATGTATGTTCATAAGGTCTATTGTTGCACATAAGCTTCCATGTTAAAAGTGCAAAAGGGCTCATGTGGCTGTCACATGTAATCTAGGAAGCTCATCACAAAATGTGTACATATTTTGCCTGTGAAATTGTATACCTTTTTTCTTCTTGGGATTATAGGTTTTCCAGAGCCATAGATGAAAAGCGTTTTTGTATTTTTTTCTATTTTCGTGGATGAGCGAGTTGACAAGACTATAAAGTCCGCTAAGATACATAGCAGTGATTGTCAGATGGGGGGGAGGAACACTTGTTTCTTATTGTGTTTGTATGTGTGTATGTGTGTGTGCGATAAAGAAAGTGAGTCCTTGATTTCAACATTTTATTGTGCTTAAATGATTGTAAGCACTGTTAATTTCTGAAACAAGCATGCAGCTTTGAAAATTCACTAGAAGAAAGTTGAAAGCTATGTCTTGGTCATGGTAGGGGGACAAATAGCTTCTTCTATTGTCCTGAGGGTTTGAATAAACCTAGGACTTCTGAATGATTTCAGCACTGTTCAACTCAAAAATTCCTGTCCAGTATCTCAAGAAGTTGATTTTAGCCATAGAGGCCACACATCCAGTGGCAACTTCCACTCCTCGAATGTAAGAGTAGCCAGGACAAGGAAGAGAAAGTACTGAGAGCAGACAGCGGGAAATGAGGTCCACGGAGTTCTGTAGCTTCCATGCAGCTACCTGAAGAATAATATGAGTGTTGTTTGCAGAAGGTTATGGACGGAAATAGACAGAGGAATTCTCTTTATTAAATCTACTTACTTTTGTTGTGTTTGTATTCCCCTAAAATATAGTACTTAGAAATGTTGAATATTAAAGAAATGTGGGGTTTTTTATTATTTTTTATAATTGTACAAAAATTAAGCAAATGACAGAAGTTTTATATGCTTATTCATGTTTTCAAAAGTTTCTTATAGATGTGATGCTTTTTTTTTTTAAAGCTTTGGTTGCTTGTCTTTTGTTATTTTTATGTTACGGGCTTTTAGAGAGCCAGAAGGCAAATCTATAAGCCACTAATTTGTCAAGATCTGCAATACAATTTTAAAATTAATAAAATGCTTTGAAAAATTGTGTTGATGTGTGTGTGTGTGTGTGTGTGTGTGTGTCTGTTTTCCATCCTTCCAATTTTTGGCCTTGTTTATAGCATCAAAGAAGAGAAGGAGACTCTGAAATAAGCATCACTGAGTTTCAAATATATTTATATATATTTATATATATATATGTTTACACACACACATAGTGGTACCTCAGTTCACAACTTGATTCTTTCCATGGTTCTGGTCACAAACTGAATTGGACAGTAACTGAATCAAATCCAATGGTTAAGTTCAATGTTAACCTTATAGGGAATTTGATTTGGTTCTCATACAGTTCGGTTTGTGACCAGAAGCATGGAGAATATATCTTTAGTTTCATTGTCATAGCTGATTTAATGTCCTGAATCAGTTAAAAACATTCATCTTTTATGGTCATTTTGACTTTGGGTAAAAGCCTGAAGTTTCAAGGTGCTAGATCTGGGGAATGAGGTGGATGAAGATGCACCATAATGTTTCTAATTCTACAAGCCTGCTTTCCATTGGATGGCACTGGACACCAGCACTTCCTGTATTTCTAATCATACCTTTTGAAGACATTCATAAAAGAGGAATTCCAGAACTGTTTAGGAAAATGACAAGAATGGTAGGATAAGTGTTTTCAAAGGGAAGAGGTACATTTTGAGGGGAATTATTGACAATGTGTCCCTTATTGCAAAAAATTTGTCATTTAAATTTTTACCCCATATTTTGATCACATCTCATAAATATATATACATATATGTGTGTTAATTAAATACCACTATATATATATTATGTGTGCTGTACTGTATATGTAATATAGATTTTAATTTGTTTTCTGTTTATAGATATAATCACATTATGAAGACATAATAGGCAAAGTAGATGAACTCTATAATAGAAATATCAGGATCTTTATTTATTGAAATCTCAATGATAGATTCCCCTAAACTTAAATGACTGGTACAGTTCAGTGTGGCCAGTAGGAGAAAGAGATAACAAAACCAAAGAATATGAGAATAACACGTTTGATAAACCACCACAGAGGTATGGACTCAAGTTTAGTTGTTTTCCTTTTTTAATTTCATCGGTGCTTGATTCTAGTACATTGTGAATACACTCATTGTGGGTAGTTGGTACATGTACATGGCGTATCCTATTTCTCTTTACGTTCCCTTACCCTCTCTCTCTCCCTCCACCCCTTAGTCACCTTTCATTTGCCAAAGATCTATGTCCATCTTTCACATTGGCCGCCTTTTATTTGGCTCTTCCTTTATTCTTTGAGTTTCTCATATAAGAGAAGCCATACAGTTTGTATGGGTCGGTATTTCATGACTTTTATTCTTTCTTATAGATCTTCTGAAATACAAGGAAAGAAACTACTCTTTTAAATCTAGAATAAGTTTACTTTCTTCCAATTATCACAGCTTCGATTAAACCCTTTCACAAATCAAAAATGCATTAAAGATAATTAATGATATTGTTTTTCCACATCTTGAGACTTTTTCACTATTTTTTAACCACTCCAGGAATTATTTTATCTTTACTTATCAATCGCAATGAGCCGAAAAGACTTTTAAAAAAATAAAGATGAGAATGCCCAAAATAGTGCTGGCGTGACAACTGAACACTCACATAAGACTAGTCAAAACTGAGACGTGCTCTAAGTGCAAGATACACATTTGATTTCAGAGAATTCAAATAAAAATAATGTAAAATATTTCCCTGACAATTTTTATGTGGATTATAACATAATTTTTATGTGGAGTATAATAATTTTATGAGGGTTATAATTATGTTGCAAAAATAACATTTTATAACAAAATATTGGATTAAATTTTACCTTTTTATTTTTTATGTGCCCTTAAAATATTTATATTATATATAATTCTATTAGATGACTGACATGCAAAGATGATACATAGGATTATGAACTAAATTTAGTAATGTATAAGTATACAGTATTTTTACTCTGCTGTCCATATCACAACCTCTTACAAGGAGTTATAGAATAATGTAGAAAACATTTGCAGTGAGAATTTATCATCACATAATGGTTAAAAAGTTAAAATTGACAGAGGAAGGTACTTTGAAATTGTTAAAAATGAGGACATGAACATAAAGGGAAAGTAGCACTGGAGACTCTGAAGATGGTGGAATTGATCATATAACTTAATTCTCAAACTGAGTCGTGTTTCATTGACATCCTCAATTACATTTCACAAACACAAGTTTCAGTGATTAAGCAAGAGTTCTAATGATGGGAAGGATATATAGTACTCTTATCCAGTTTTCGAAAAGGGAAATCTTCACCATGTAATATTTTGCAACAAAAATCTAGCCATTTTATTTTTCTAAAACACCATGTGATAATATTATTTCAGCTCTCAAGACCCTTGTGTAGCAAAGTTTATAATATGTTTTATAAATAAACAAATGCTAATGATCATTACTCAGCAACGGTCATGGAAAGTAAATAATGTAGAAATTTATCAGACCGTTCTAATATTTATAAATCTAAAAATAAAAACATGGAAAATTTGGAGCAAAAAACATGCTTATGCCTCTTCAAAAAATTATGAACCATTACAGATATTTCAAGTGTTGAATTTTAATGATGTAAATGAAAAATGAACAATAAGAAGTAATGATAAACTAGATTCTATCAGAGGTGCATTTGATATCATTACAAGGCAGATACATCCCACACTGCGTGTCTGTTTATGGGCAGTGAATTGCATTCAGAGGTTATTTCCCATTTTATATGTATATACCACTTAAATCCGTGAAAATGGAAAAGAACTCTTACTAATATTTCTCATAATTTTTTCTACTGTCCTTATCCCTTTATCCTACAGTTCATTCAAAAATTTTCTAAAATTTTGAAAAATAACATAGAAATTAACTATTAAATTAAGACCAAGAAAATGATGATATTTTTCCTATTATGCTTGGGCTTTTAGAATAACTTACCAACTATTCACAGTTACAGAACATCAAAGACCTAATGTTGAATAAACATACTTGAGTTATGTAAAATATGCATCAGATCTTTCAGATCCATGAGTTATATTTGTGCTTTAGGTTCAGTGGCTGCATTATCTAAGAACGTAACACAAGGACTTCATTTAGTGTACCAAGCATTCCTGTTAGCAAAATAAAAGCACCCTAAAAATAGTGGATATGCCCCGGAATCTTTCTACTTCTGGGGAATGTAACCTTAATTTCTGAGTCACGGTATCAAAGACTGGCACACAGTGTTCATTCTCGCTTCAACCATTCTTCCCCATTTATATTCCATAGTTCTTTTACTAGGTATGCTAGAATACAGAATACTTTCGCATAATATAGACTTCCCAGAATCTTCTTTGTACCCACAAAAGATTTAATGTCTACTTAATTTTTTTGAACTTGATGGACTCTATGCAATGTTTCTTCATACTTCAGACATTCAAAAAATGTTATTCAGATTTATATATTTTTATGGATTTAGCAGAGGCAGTGTGGAAAGAACACTGAACCGAAAGAAGTCTGGTGACTTGGGCTAGATGTTTAATCTTCTGCATTTCATTGTTAACATCTATAAAATGAAGGACGAACCCCTAACTTGGCAGTGTTTTAGCAATATCTTGGGAAGACAGCTGAAGTATGACATATAAAAATCTGCCAATATAGAAATGAGGTCATAGTTTCAAGACAAATCACAGTGCCATGCTGTAATCTGCATTAAATGTAGATCTAAAAGCATTTGGAAACTCATTCCTTCTCTTGAAAAACTTTTTATGGAGCACTAAACATTACACACACACACACACACACACACACACACATATTTCAGATTTGTGTAGTTCATTAGTTTCAAGCAGTGCTTTCAGAGTTATGTTGAGTGTGTCTTTGAAATTTACGAGACTTGTAACTCCTCACATTAATCCCAAATCTGAGTATGTGCCAAGTGGGTGGCAAGCACTAGCAGGTGAACTTCCCTTTTTGGGTTTTTTCAGAATTCTAGGTTGAAGACCTTGGAGGACTAGCGTTCTGTAATTCAAATAAAAGTTAGATTCAGAGAAATAAGACACAGGAAGTAATTTCAACCAGAGAAAGTTTGAAATAAGGAACAATGGAAAACAGAGTCCATGGAGTGCTTTAGCTCATCTAACATTTTTCGTATAATTTTGGAATATCACTATTTTAATTGTAAGATAAATTATTATTTTAAATAACGGTTGGATATTCATAAACTCTTGGTACTACCTTTTCTACATTGATGGAATTCTGCTCTTCCATGTTTTAGCTAAGTTCTCATCAGCTGTATCCAGTATTTACCAATAATTTCAAATATGCCTCTTTCTCCCTAAAAGTTAGATAAAGCACTTGGAAGTACTCACAATGCCTAGGATATAGAATGCTGGAATTATAGAAGAGTAAAAGGAGAAATAAAACAGAGATCAACTCATTGTCATAATCAGGGCTGTGAAGTGAATAGAAAATTCTGCCGTGTCATTCCACGGGGCCTCCTGCCAAATGCTTTTTGAAAATGTTCAGAAAGTTTCTTCTTAAGAATTTGAGAATTACAGTTGCATCCAGGTAGGCATACATTTGATTTAAGAGAACCAATGCCGACAGTTGTAAATATTCAAAGGAGAATTCAGGAAAGAATCCTGCAGGAGATTCTCATTTTTGTGAATCTCAGCCATGCTGCAGAAATCCAGGTAATTCTTTGTATAACACTACGTGGTGTACAAAAGGGCTGTTGGGCCACTGGGGACTGTGTGTATGTGTTTGTGTGTGTGTGTGTTTACTACTTTTAGAATGGAGGCATCTAAATGCCATTTCCCCCTTTCCTTGTGCTTTCCCATGGGACTTAAAGTGTTGCCACCCTAAGTAATTTACTTGTAAGCAGCACAGCTCAGCAAAATCTTGCTAAAGTTGTGTATGAATCATTCCATTTCCCTGTTGCCCTTTTCCCTCACTGTGGAAGACGTTGCCAATGTTGT